TAGACACTTGGGAAGTGTCTGACGTGTGATCCAATGCAACAGCCAGCATAGCGATCTTCTTTGTTGTGCACTAATCTTGTTGTGTATTAAATAATAATACGTAATAATAATAATAATAATAATAATATGCTGGAGCTACCTCTCCCCAATTTTATTCACCACTGCTGTAGCCGGATCCAAATTATTTGCTATCTTTTTATCTAGTGCAGATCTAGTAATCTACAGAGACACTCGCTGGAACACCTCAGCAAGTGAGAGTCCAAAAGTGGCAGGCTCAAATCCAGAACCTCAACCAATGGCTGATACCAAATGAGGGACTCCCTCCTGGGCACATAGAAGACTGGGCGACTTGGAAGGCGCTGAACAGACTGTGCTCTGGCACCACGAGATGCAGATCCAACCTTAAAAAATGGGGCTACAAAGTGGAATCCACGATATGCGAGTGTGGAGAAGAGCAAACCACTGACGACCTGCTGCAATGCAACCTGAGCCCTGCTACATGCACAATGGAGGACCTTCTTGCGGCAACACCAGATGCACTCCAAGTGGCTAGATACTGGTCAAAGGACATTTAATCAACTACCAAGCTTGCAAATTTTGTGTTTTGTCTGTCTGTTTATTTGTTTTGTTCTGTTAGAAATGTGATACAATTGTCTGCTGCCCCTGACACGATAAATAAAATAAATAAATATCTAGTGCAGAACAAACCTGGAGAACCTACCTTGTTCATAACTTGGGGGCTGCCAATATAAATGAAAAGTTTCTGTGAGAGATATTGTATCCCCACACAATTTGTTATTAAAATAAATCTGTGTGCCCATATTTCTTATATGAGCTTGGTTTAACCTCTGGTTTGCAAGTAAAACTGAATTACTGTGTCGGGAAATGAGGCATCTAAAAAGTGTGCCACCAACATGAAATGTTTGGAAAGTTCTGATCTAGTGTGACCATCCAACCATCTCCATTGCATTACACTATTTGGCGGTAGCTTACTGGTGTGAATACTAAGATAGTCCTTTGCACATGGTAGGGTGAATTCACTTCTACTTATTGTTGTTGTTTATATATTTATTTATTTCTGGTATTTCTACCCCGTCACTCCTCTACCCCCGAAGGAGGCCTCAGGATGGCTTACAATGGGCACCGATACGATGCCACTACACAACAATTATAAAACCACAATTGAACATAATTCAATCATAAAAAATGTAGGCAACTGATGAAATATTTGCCTAGAGGTAAAAAATAACAATTCCAGAAATAAAGGGTGCAATACAATTTATCAAGTGTATGTATACACACATGTACTTTGGGGGAGAAACAATGACAGCTTGAAATAAGGAACACAACAAATGGCAACCTTGTTGAAATATAGGCCTTCCATCCCAAGAATACCCTAAAATCTAGAAAATGTCTATAGAGGATAAATTGTGTCAGATGTGGATAAATGAAATAGTAGATCCGTATTATTTGATTGCAAATTGTATCAGAAGGTGAGAGACTTCTACCGTGGTCCATATATCAAATTGATATTGGGAATCTCCCATCACAACAATGTATTTTATGTGTGGACAAGACTAAAAAATAACATATAAAATGTATGTAAGCAAAATAATGCATTTGAAAATCACATATGTGGCGTTGATTAGGGTAAACTGTAGGGGTGATAAGGAAATCTAATTTATATACTCAGTTTTATCATATTTATTTACTGTATTGGGTTGTTGTAGGTTTTTTCGGGCTATATGGCCATGGTCTAGAGCAGGGGTAGGGAACCTTCGGCCCTCCAGGTGTGGTGGACTTCAACTCCCACAATTCCTTGAGGCTCGTGTAAGCCTTTGGGGCGAATGCCGAGCCTCAAGGAATTGTGGGAGTTGAAGTCCACCACACCTGGAGGGCCGAAGGTTCCCTACCCCTGGTCTAGAGGCATTCTCTCTTGACATTTCGCCTACATCTATGGCAAGCATCCTCAGAGGTAGTGCTTGCCATAGATGCAGGCGAAACGTCAGGAGAGAATGCCTCTAGACCATGGGCATATAGCCCGAAAAAACCTACAACAACCCAGTGATTCCGGCCATGAAAGCCTTCGACAATATATTTACTGTATTGTTATAAGTGTTATATTTTAATTTACTACATAGAGTGCAATCAAGTCTTATCAAGCTTTGTTGTTTGGCTTGGTATTGTGATATGGCCTAAGGGCTAATCGATAAAATTATTGTTGCTATTGTTGTTGAAACTGTAGATACTGTTCCCAGGAATATACAGTAGGTATTGAGTTGGAGTAGATTATACCGTTGGCAAGGTGGGTTAAATTACTGAGATGCTGAACTTGCTGACTGAAAGGTTGGTGGTTCAAATCAGGGGAATGGGATGAGCTCCCGCTGTTAACCCCAGCTTCTGCCAACCTAGCAGTTTGAAAACATGCAAATATGAGTAGATCAATAGGTATTGCTTCTGTGGGAAGGTAACGGCATTCCATGCATTCATGCTGACCACATGACCTTGGAAGTGTCTACGGACAATGCCGACTCTTCGGCTTAGAAATGGAGATGAGCACCAACCCCTAGAGTTGGACACAACTAAACTAGAATTTACTTTTTTTCAACCTGTTGAATGGTATAATATTTTTCAATCACTAATACGCACAATTCAACAGACCACACATTGTGATCCTAATTATTAAGTCATATGTTCCACAGGTGAGTCTCAAAATTAAAAACATGCCCCAGTTGTCGCGGACCAGACCACATGAAATATCATCTCAAGCACCATCTATACAATCATATAATGCAGTTTGAAACTGCATTATATGGTCAGTGGATCTACACTATCTCATTTCCCAGGATCTGATCCCATATTATCAGCTTTGAATTGGATTATATAAGCCTCCACTACTATATAATATGGGATAAGCAGATAATCTGGGATCAGATCCTGGGATATAGGGCATTGTAGAAGGGGCCTTGTATAATGCGGTTCATTGCCATATACATAGCAGACGCAAACATTTTAGGATGTATCGACACCAGGCATGGGAAACTTTGGCCCGCCAAGTGTTTTGGACTCCAACTCCCACAATTCCTAACAGCCTCAGGCCCTTTCCTTTTCCCCTCATCTGCTTAAGGAATGGGGCTGAGACTGTTAGGAATTGTGGGAGCTGAAGTCCAAAACACCTGGAGGACCAAAGTTTGCCCAGGCCTGGTCTACACTATAGAATTAATGCAGTTTGGCTCCCCTTTAACTGCATGGCTCAGTGCTATAGAATCCTGGGCACTGCCTTTCTCAACCTGGGGGTCGGGACCCCTGTGGGGGTCGCGAGGGGGTGTCAGAGGGGTCGCCAAAGACCATCAGAAAACACAGTGTTTTCTATTGGTGATGGGGGTTCTGTGTAGAAAGTATAGCCCAATTCTCCCATTGTTGGAATTCAGAATGCTCTTTGATTGTAGGTGAACTATAAATCCCAGCAACTACAACTCCCTAATGTCAAGGTCTATTTCCTCTAACCTCCTCCAGTATTCACATTTGGGCATGTTGAGTATTCGTGCCAAGTTTGGTCCAGATCCATCATTGTTTGAGTCCACAGTGCTCTCTGGATAAAGGTGAACTACAACTCCAAAACTCAAGGTCAATGCCTACCAAACCCTTCCAGTATTTTGTTAGTCGTAGGAATTCTGTGTGCCAAGACTGGTTCAATTCAGTCGTTGGTGGAGTTCAGAATGCTCATTGATTGTAAGTGAACTATGAATCTCAGCAACTACAACTCCCAAATGACAGCATCAATCTCCCCTTCAATCCCACTAGAATTCAAATGTGGGCATATCAGGCATTTGTGCCGAATTTGGTCCAGTAAATGTAAATACATCCTGCATATCAGATACTTACATGATGATTCATAACAGCAGCAAAATTACAGTTGTGAAGTCGCAACAAAAATGTTATGGTTGGGGGTCACCACAACATGAGAATTGTATTAAGGGGTCACGGCATTAGGGAGGTTGAGAACCACTGCACTAGCACCCTTTGGCAGAGAAATCCAATACCTTTTAAAAGTACAGCTTTGCTTATGTCAAACTGCATTAATTCTACATTGTAGGTGCACCCTTAGTTTTTAAAGCGCCTCTAGACTCTCTGCTGTTATTTGATGTCACAGACGTGAATTACACATTCCAAATATAGTTCACCTTCCCACAAGCCTCTACCATGGCTTAGGCTCCTTCTACATTGCCATAGATTCCAGTTTATCAAAGCAGATAATCCACTGCTCTGAACTGGATCAAAGTCTACATTGCCATATAATCCAGTTCAAAGCTGGTAACTTGGACTTCTTGTATAGCCCTTCTCACCTTTCCAGCCCTTGGAACCTCTTCTTGTTCTTTTAGGGACTTTTATGGACTTGTTCTGCCAACCTCTACGCTGAACGCTACTTGGGATGCACCTCTACACTGTGGAGTTAATGCAGTTCAGTGCCACTTCAACAGCCATGACTCAATGCTACGGGAACAAGGAAGCTGTAGTCTGACAATGTCTGTTTTGGCCAAAGAGAGTGAGTGTCTCACCAAGATACAACTCTTGGGATTCCATAACATTGAGCCATAGCAGTTCAAGCGGTATCAAACTGCACTAATTCGACAGTGTAGATCAGGCATCAGCAAGCTTTGGCCCTCCAGATGTTTTGGACTTCAACTCCCACAATTCCTAACAGCCTACCGGCTGTTAGGAATTGTGAGAGTTGAAGTCCAAAACACCTGGAGGGCCAAAGTTTGCGCATACCTGGTGTAGATGCTGCCAAACAGGTGAAGCCAGCAGCCCTAACCTGGAGAAGCCTACTTAGAGGCTGGAGATGTCAGGCATTCTGATGCAATTCTTCCCCTGCCACATGGGCCAGGGCTGATTGCCTTCATTTCCTCCAAAAGAAAGGGTGCCGGGCTTCTTTTCCCCTCCATTGACCATTTCCCAGGACTCCCCCCCCCCACCTTTGGCACCCCAAATCCTCATACCTTGTTGTGCCGGATCAAGCGCGGGAGCTGGGGCTGCTTTGCAAGCCTGGCCACGTTGCATCAGCCAGAAACAGTGGAAAGGAAAAAGAGAAGGAGGCTCAGCCCTTCTCCCCGCCCAGTGGGCTTGGCATTGCAATGCTGCAGCTGTGGTCTTGCCATAAGGCCTCCTCTTGCTTGGATTCAAGGAAGCAGCAGTGCCACACAGGGGGATTGACTGCCTGAGGCCAACACAGCCTCCTGCCTCTAAGAAGAGCCAAGTCAAGTCTTCATCATGAATTTTAAATTCGTGCCTTGTTTTCTGTTCACTATATTGTAATGTTTATTCTGTGTATTTGAATATATGTGGTCTAGGCAAAACTACGGTTAGGTGGATCTGTAATTAGTTAAGCAAACGAACCCAGAGGGTGCTCAACAATGCTTCCTCGTCATCCTGGAAAGAAGTGACAAGTGGTGTGCCATAAGCAGGGTTCTGTCCTGGGCCCAGTCCTGTTCAGGATCTTCATTAATGATTTCGACCAGTGTTTCTCAATCTGGGTGTCATGAGGGAGTGTCAGAGGGGTCGCCGAAGACCATCAGGCAACACAGTATTTTCTGTTGGTCATGGGGATTCTGTGTGGGAAGTTTGGCTTAATTCTATCATTGGTGGAATTCAGAATTCTCTTTGATTGTAGGTGAACTATAAATTCCAGCAACTACAACACCCTGCAGACGGTGCTAAATCTGGATTGTATGGAAGATGCCGTACAAAAAAATGCGAATGTGAGTAGATCAATAGGTACTGCTCTGGCAGGAAGGTAATGGTGCTCCATGCAGTCATGCTGGCCACGTGACGTTGGAGGTGTCTACGGACAACGCCGGCTCTTTGGCTTAGAAATTGAGATGAGCACCAACCCCCAGAGTCAGACATGACTGGACTTACTGTCAGGAGAAAGCCCGTACCTTTACAACAGCTCCAAAATGTCAAGGTCTGTTTTCCCCAAACACCACCAGTGTTCACACTTCTGCACATTGAGTATTTGTGCCAAGTTTGGTCCAGATCCATCATTGTCTGAGTCCACAGTGCTGCCTGGATATAGGTGAACTACAACTCCCAAACTCAAGGTCAGTGCCCACCAAACCGTTCTAGCATTTTCTGTTGGTTGTGGGAATTCTGTGTGCCAAGTCTGGCTCAACTCCATCGTTGGTGGAGTTCAGAATGCTCTTTGATTGTCGGCGAACTATAAATCCCAGCAACTACAACTCCCAAATGACAAAATCAACCAGTATTCAAATTTGGGCATATTGGGTATTTGTGCCAAATTTGGCCCAATGAATGAAAATACATCCTGCATATCAGATATTTACATGATGATTCATAACAATATCGAAACTACAGTTATGAATTAGCAATGAAAATAATTTTATGGTTGGGGGTCACCACGACATGAGGAACTGTATTAAGGGGTCGCGGCATTAGGAAGGTTGAGAAACACTGGGTTAAACCTTTGTGCCGGCAGGACTGAAGACTGACAGGTCGCAGGTTTGAATCCGGGGAGAGTGCGGATTCTGTCAGCTCCGGCTCCCCATGCGGTGTCATGAAAGAAGCCTCCCACAAGGATGGTGAAACACCAAAACACCCAGGCATCCCCTGGGCAGCATCCTTGCAGGCGGCCAATTCTCTCACACCAGAATCAGCTTGCAGTTTCTCAAGTCTCTCCTGACACACACACACACAAAATGAATGACTTCTAGATCTAGGGAAGCCATGCTACCACCCTATTTTGCCTTGGCCAGACCACACTTGGAATTACACTGTGTCCAATTCTGGGCACTGCAATTGAAGGGAGAGGTTGACTCTAAGCTGGAATGTGTCCAGAGGAGGGCAACTCAAATTATCAAGGGTCTGGAGAACAAGCCCTATGAGGAACGGCTGAAAGAGCTGGGCATGTTTAGCCTTCAGAAGAGAAGGCTGAGAGGAAACATGTAGATGGCCATGTATAAATATGTGAGGGGAAGCTATACAGAAGAGGGAGCAAGCTTGTTTTCTGCTGTCCTGGAGACTAGGATGCAGAACAATGGCTTCAAACTACAAGAAAGGAGATTCCATCTGAACATTAGGAAGAACTTCCTGACTGTGAGAGCTGTTCAGCAGTGGAACTTTTTGCCCTGGAGTATGGTGGAGGCTCCTTCTTTGGAGACTTTTAAACTGAGGCTGGATGGCCATCTGTTGGGGGTGCTTTGAATACGATTTTCTTGCTTCTTGGCAGGGGGTTGGACTGGATGGCCCACGAGGTCTCTTCCAACTCTATGATTCTATGATTCGATATGTATTTTGTAGAAGTGTATTTTAATATCTGCATTTATGTATTTTAATATCTGCAGGTAAGAATCTGCTCCCCAGATACTTACCTGCGATCAAAATACTGTGACTACAAAAAGAGAAATCTGGCCACTTGCTCTGTCGCCTTTCTGTCAGTATCAGAGAATAGATAACTGGTACCAGTTTAAAGTTCTTCCTGGCCGCTTGGTGAGTAAAGGGGATATTAGCCTCAATCTATCATCTTTGTAGACGGTGCAGATAAAAAAGCGCATGCATTATAGTTTCTACTTTTCCCATTGTTGTGGGTGATAGGAATGATAAACACCAATAGGGATCCTTTCCATGCTTGAAAAAGGCGGTTTATTTAAAACAGTGTTTCTCAACCTTCCTAACGCCGCGACCCCTTAATACAGTTCCTCATGTTGTGGTGACCCACAACCATAAAATTATTTTTGTTACCACTTCATAACTAATGTTGCTACTGTTATGAATCATAATATAAATATCTGATATGTAGGATGTATTTTCATTCACTGGACCAAATTTTGCACAAATACCCGATACATCCAAATTTGAATACTGGTAGGGATGGCAAAAATTGATTGATACACCTACAAAACGTGGACCATCTACAGATGTCACACCTAACTCCTGGAATGATTCCATCAGTGCTGCCCCCCAAAAATCCTGCAAATCTCTTAGGAAGACAGGTGGACAAATGTCAGCATGCTGGAAGAAGCAAAGACCACCAGCACTGAAGTGATGCTCCTATGCAATCAACTCCGCTGGACTGACCACGTCTGAATGCCCAATCACCATCTCTCAAAGTACTTACTCTACTCCCATCTCAAGAATGGAAAACAGAATGTTGATGGACAGGAAGAGAGATTTAAAGATGGGCTTAAAGCCAACCTTAAAAACTGTGACATAGACACTGAGAACTGGGAAGCCCTGGCCCCCAAGCACTCTAATTGGAGGTCAGCTGTGACCAACAGTGCTGTGGAATTTGAAGAGGCATGAATGGAAGACGAAAGGGAGAAAAGAGCCAAGAGGAAGGCATGTCAAGCCAAACCTGACCGGGACCACCTTCCATCTGGAAATAGACGTCCTCACTGAGGAAGAGCATGTGGGTCAAGATTAGGTCTCCACAGTCACCTACGAACCCACCGCTAAGACCTTTCTCTTGGAAGGCCATCATCCTCAGACATGAGTGATCGCCGATGATGATGATGATGTGGTGATGATGTGTTTTTAGCACTGTTGCAATCCACCTTGAGCCACGAGGAGAGTCTGCGAGTAAGAAATAATAATAATAATAATAATAATAATAATAATAATAAATTATTATCCAAAACTAGCAGAATTATTTGCTCAGTGATGCAGAAACTCCCACAAGCTTTTCTTCCTCTTTCACAGGGATCCCTGGAGCAAGAGGGCGTAAGTCCCTGGATCCCATTAAACATGGGTTCAAACTGCACTATATGGCACTCTAGAACTATATAATCCACTTTGGACTTCACTGAACACTCATCTTCAACACTCATCATATAATGCAGATAAAACTGTATTATATGGCTCTATACAACAGGGTGTGTCTTTATTGTACCGTGAGCCAGCTCTAAAGATGGAATTGTGAAAGCTGTAGTTTTAGAAGGTCTGTTTACTTTCTCTGCCAAAGCCAGCTAGTGCCTCACCAAACTAGACAGGACGGAGGGGGAAGAGGAAGATTCAAGATGCATCCACATGGTAGAATTAATGCGCTCTGAGTGACTCTGCACAAGTCAAATTCTTTCAGTCTCAGGGGCAGACAAATTCCCTCTGAACAAATCTTACCAAGAAAATCCCATGAGGGCTTTGCCTTAGACCCCTTGTACACTGCCATGTAAAATCCATATTATCTGCTTTGAACTGGATTATATAGCATTGTAGACTCATATAATCCAGTTCAAAGCAGATAATGTGGATCGTGTCATTTATCGTGTCAGGAGCAACCAGACAGTTGTATTACATTTTTAACAAAACAAACAAACAGACAGACAAAACACATTTGCAAGTTTGGTAGTTGATTAAATGTCCTTTGACCAGTAGCTGGCCACTTGGAGTGCCTCTGGGTTGCCGCAAGGAGGTCCTCCATTGTGCATGTGGCGGGGCTCAGGTTGCATTGCAGCAGGTGGTCAGTGGTTTGCTCTTCTCCACGCTCGCATGTCGTGGATTCCACTTTGTAGGCCCATTTGATTGGCTCTGCATCTGTGAATTATCTGTGTTGATAACCTGGATTATGTCGCAGTGTAGAAGGCACCTTAGAGTTAACCCAAGTCAAAAACGACTTTGGCCCCTTCTACACTGCCATATAAGCCAGTTCAAAGCAGATAATCTGGATTTTGTATGGCAGTGTAGAAGGGGCCTTAAAAGGGACACAGTAACAACAACCAACAGGCTCATACAATTCCAGTTATTCTTTTCCTTGTGATGTCAAAACCATTGTTTATAATATTGTATCTAGGGAAAAATATAAACACAAAACAAATGAAAAAAGTAAGACAAAAGACCAAGAGCTTTGTGATGTTAGCATGGCACGCACGCCCTGAAATCTAAAGGAATGGAGGCTTATGGTGTTTGCACAAGATCTTCCACTCCAGAAACTGCCAGGGCTGGAAGAGCAAATCTGCAATTCTGTGTACCTCTTGTGGTGAGTTGCCATAATTGCAGCTTAAAATAAATTCCCTTCTGACCACAATGTAGGATGCGTCCAAACTGTAGAATTAATGCAGTCTGACACCACTTTAACTGGAATCTGGGAGG